GCGCCAGCCGCTGCCCTTTTGCTGCCTGCGGGGCCCGCCCAGTGCCGAGCAGGAACGGAACGAGCCGGAGATCGCCGAGGCCCCATTTCTTCTACTCTGGGCGGGGAGTCTCTCTCCTAATCCCCTCTCCTCCCCCTGCCCACCCCACTTGGAACCAATATGGAGGACGCTGCCTGCTGCGGAGATCACCACTGCTATTGCAGCTGCTGCTCCTGATCCCTGAAGAGGCTGCAACATCCCTATTTCCCCTCCCATCAGCTTCCTGCTGCACTGATTGCAACCCCATTTCTTCTACTCTGGGCGGGGAGTCTCTCTCCTAATCCCCTCTCCTCCCCCTGCCCACCCCACTTGGAACCAATATGGAGGACGCTGCCTGCTGCGGAGATCACCACTGCTATTGCAGCTGCTGCTCCTGATCCCTGAAGAGGCTGCAACATCCCTATTTCCCCTCCCATCAGCTTCCTGCTGCACTGATTGCAATTCCCCTCCATGCTCCCTCCCCCTTCCTCCTGCAATTGTCTCTGCTGCTGCTCTTGCCCGCATGCACTGAATCTGTGCATTCACATACAGCCCCCTAGGTGGCTGCTGGAGGTGAAGAGGGGATTCCGGGAGAGCTGCAATTCCACAGATATCTTCATGTTCCTCTATTTATTGTTGCCACCAGCACCCACCCCTATCTCGGTGCATCTTTCTGCTGCCTGGATTTCCGCGTCGGCTGCTGCTAGAAGGTGAAACCGGGACCTGAAGACAAAAAACAGACACACCTTCCTCTTCCCAGGCACCAGCGGGGGAGCAGCGAGTGGATCAGGGTGGTGCTGGTTGGGGATCTTGTCTGGAGGAGCCGCCACTGCACGCAGCAGCCATGAGCAGCTCCACTACCACCACCTCCACTACCAGCAGCAGCAACGCCGGAGAAGGGGCTGACGAGGCGGCCAAAGACTCTGCAGACATCGCGGCATTTTTCCGAGCCGGTGAGTAGTGTGTTGGTTTCCTTGGCACAGCAGAGATTGGAATTGGGAGGCCAAGATGTGAAACCAGCTTGGAGGAGGTGGTGAAAAGTCTTTTCTCGCTTTCCTCTCCCTCAATTGGGAGTAGGAGAGATTCGCTCGCTGCTCTGGAGTGGCTTTGTGAAAAATGTAAACTGGCAGCTTATTGGGAGAGGCTTTTCTTTCCCTCCCTAAGAAGGCAACTGTGGGGAATCTCTTGTATTTATAGTCATGTATCTAGGCGGAGGGGTGTAAAAGATCTCACACAGATGCGTTGGTGTCTGCAGCATTGCATACGTTGTACAGTATCCATTTTTATACACGACTGCAATCGAGAGTACTGTATTCGGAAGTCTCTCTTTAAGGAGACGGGTGTATGTTCCATATTATTAAGATATACGTCAGTGTAATGGCAGAGCTTACTATGGAGCATGTCACAGGGAGAAATCTGAACTGCAGCCTTTGTCATAGTTAACTGTGTTAAAGAATGACAGTAAAAAAAAAAAAAAAAAAAGCTGCTACTCCGCCCCTCCCCCGGGATGAAAAGGAGGGGACTATCAGTACACAACTGTCGCACAGTAAGTTATGACCTTTGCCTACGGCCATGCTGCTTTTTCACTTCACTCCATATTGGGGAAAAATGTACAGGGGTGATATAGCACTCACTAATAGTGACCTAACAAACCTCAGTTGGCCTAGTAGCCACTTACAAAAGTTGGGAGCCCATCCGAGATGCATGTTCATCCGAATGTGTGGACCGGCTTAGTTTAATCAGCGTGAAAGCCATGTTTCTGGTACGTAGCAAACTGTGGTGGGACTGGTGACAGGTGTGAGTATTTCTGACCTTAGTAAGAAAACACATGCCACTGGCACTTGAAAGCAGAACCTTAAGGTAGCATTTGACTCCAAACACAAAAGGACTTTCTATGACGGCCAGCTGAGGGGCTAACCCCCCCTCGCCCTATTTCACAGCTGAAGTTAGAGATGGGAAAGCTCTGCTGTACACGAGCAAGTCCCTGCAAATGGAGGGAAGGGCATATAAGCAGCTCGTGGATTTAAGGGGGAAAATGGAGGCGTGTTCGAGGCAACTGCTACTGTGAAGGTTAAACTTGCACATCATGGGGTGATGTTTGCTGTGTAGGGTGTGGGTGACACAACTATAAATAGCCATGCAACTCCAATCCTAGTGAGTCTGGGCTGCCTCTCTAGTCGGTGATTAGGCAGAAGGGTGGGAGAGGGAAAAATTCAAACCACTGTTTACAGCGGGAAGTAGAAGCGTTTAGGGATTTCCCTGTCTGCATGTAGGAGGAGCAGTGGAAGGAGCCGGGCTGCTACTCATGTGTTGCTGTCTTGCGGCTGAGCTGGAAAGTCTCCCTGCGCTTTGGAGACTTGGGGAGGGGAAAAGGGGGGAGCTTGTTGACAGGCTGCTGGGATAAAAATGGAGTCCGCCTCTTCCTCCCTCCATATCTCCCCTGGGTACCTGGTCAGCCGCGCTCCAGGGAGCAGCAGCACAGCGCGTGAGCTGTGATGTGGCGACAGCAGCTTAGGTGCTGGAGGCATTAACACCCCAGCAATAGAGCCTGCGCCGCGGCAGAGATTTGGGGCCCGGGACGGGGAGCACCCAGCACATGCCTGCTGGGGACAGTGGAGGAGGAGGGCCGCCCGCTGACTATAAGGCGGATGCACTAAGAGCGGCCGCGGGTCCCACAGCGGCGGGCCTCCCGTGACAGCAGCTTAGGTGCTGGAGGCATTAACACCCCAGCAATAGAGCCTGCGCCGCGGCAGAGATTTGGGGCCCGGGACGGGGAGCACCCAGCACATGCCTGCTGGGGACAGTGGAGGAGGAGGGCCGCCCGCTGACTATAAGGCGGATGAACTAAGAGCGGCCGCGGCTCCCAGTGCAGCGCGCCTCCCGTGGCTCTGGGTGGCGGCAGGGATGGGGTAAGATGCGGGCTGTGGTTACTCGCAGGCCCAAGGAGGAGGTAGCGAGGACATCAACCTTGGTTACGCGTTTTGTCTGGCTGCCCCCAAAAGGCGAGGGCAGGAAAGGAGAAGAAAATGCAGAGTCACCGCTGGAAAGACGGGGCGGCCGGGTTAGGTGTGTAAGAATTCAGCTTTGTTCCTGGGGTATCTCAGGCAATGCCACGAGGGAGCTGCGTGGGAATGACCCACACTCGGGAAAGAAGTGGTTCTCTCTGTTGACAAGGTTGTGGGGGAGGAGGTACAGTTGGAAAGAGACTTCGTCTCTGCTCGCGGGATTGGCATGGATGGGCCATGTAAATCGTGACGTTGAGCCTTATCTGAAAGGTTTGGGTCTCTTAGAAAAAGGCTCAAAACAAGTTGTCCAGTGCACAGATACCCAAGAAATCCAGGAGGGATGGAGTTTGTGCGGAATGAGGTTTCCTGTGAGAATGGGACAGCCCTCTTGTTCATTTGTCTTAGGCAGGCTTCTACAATGACAGCAAAATTATAAATGTTTTTTAACAAAGTGGAAATCCATTAGTGTGCTCATGTTGAGGTTCATGTGATAGTGTTGCATTATGGCATGTTGACAGGGGAAGTTATTGTCAGCCACACTAGATGACCTTTGCCAGATTTTCCCCAGTTATTGAAAATGACATTGTCTTACTCCCCTAGACAACCAAAAAAGAGCAAGCCTCTTGGCATAACAAACCCAAAGGATCTTGTTTGATTGTAAACTCATCAACAAAGTGTGTGTGCTGGTGTTGATTAACTGGTATCCAGAAGCAACTGGAACTAATGTCTCTTTACCCGTGGTGTGGAAATTTTAATATGTATTGGCTTTTTGACTTTGTTTATCAATGGCCCTGCTGGGAAGGGGAGAATGAATGTGTATTCCCTTACTCCCATTCTTAACTCATGCTCCAAGTCACAGCCTGTTCTCCTGACAAAATAGAAAAGAATCTCCTCAAAATGTGTTGAGTGCTGTCTACTATTGGATAGAGGTACTATGTTTATCTCCATGTACTCAAACTTGAGGGTGACAAGGATGTTCATAAATTACAGGGGTGCACAGTAGGGATGTAAGCGAGTACTTGAGTACTCGACTACTTGCTTCCCACCCCGCTGTCTCTGTAGGAGGGGGGAAATAGGAGCTGGTGCTGGGGGAAGCTACCGGAAAGGCCAGTCTTCCCCTTCCCCAGCACTGTCTCCACTAATGATGTTCAGTAATGGTTAGTGTACCAGTTGAGTAGGCACTACTCGATAGGCACTTCTGCATTCCTCCTTTGAAATGTACAGGAGCCCCCACTGGGGCTGCATGTGGCGTGCCAGCTTTGAAATGTACAGGAGTCCCCAGCGGGGGCTCGTGTGCATTTCAAAGTGGCAGTGGAGCATGGAGCTGGGGTCAGTGGGGGACTCAGTCTCCTGCTGATCCCGGGCTCCATGCTGCACTGCTGATGGCCGCACACTGCTCCCACCCCCCGGCCACACACTGCACCCACCCTTGCTCCTGCACCCTTCCTCCCATCCAGACCTCGCATCATCATCCCCTCCTGCATCCCACTTCCTGCCCAGATCCTGCACCTCCATTCTTCTTGCTGGCAGCCTGTCCTGAACACTGAACCCCCATTTTTGTCCAAACCCCTGGGCCTGGGTGTGTGTGTGTGTGTGTGTGTGGGTGTGTGTGTGTGTGTGTGTGTGTACACAAAATGCACTAATCCTGGAACCCCAGAAGAGTAAATCTGGCCTATGGGAAGCCCCTGAACCTCAGTGGGTCTGGAGAGCCAGAACAGAAAAGAGAAGTGTCTCAGTTGGAAGCCACATCAGTGAGGGTTGGAGGTTTTTGCTTCTCACTTGTGGTTCCCAACTGATTGTTCTGATCCAAAAAAGGTTCTTCACCCCTGCCATAAAGAAAATATGGGAACCTTTTGTGTTGGATATAATTAATATTTTATTTTACTTAAAATGAAGTCTGATAAACTAACATGAGAAAGTTAAAGCACATAGTCTGTTTAATTTAAATTAATATTTCCTTTCTTATTGGTTAAATTAAACTATTCTCCCTAGCTGCAGCACTAGCAAAATGGCTTGGATGTAATTATGTAATTAACAAAGAGTTTTCATTAGCAACTGGTGATCCATGGAAAGGTTTGCATTGAGACAGTTGGGCCTCAGACCAAAAAGTCTGAGAACCACTGTGTTGTGGGGGAGGCTAGTGGCAGCAAAGCAGGGTTGGGGCGAATGGAGCCCCCTTCCTGTGAGGAGCAGTCCAGCCTTGGCCCGGCTGGCCAGAAGTCCTGCTTGCACTCACCCGTTGCTGGCCTTGCTGAGCAGGTAGGGCAGCAGCAGGCAGTGGTGGCCGAGATAGCGGGGGGGCCATGACGGCCGCGCTTCCTGCCTTGATCCCAGAAGGTAATTTCTATAAAACCTTTATTACTGTATAAATTTTTAGTTGTCAAAACGATTTTGTTTTAACATATCACTGTTTCCAATCCAATTTTTCATTAACCTATGCGTGAAACAAATACTTAATAATTGGCTCCAGATCTAAAAGAGAAAGGTAATAATCGAATGGCTGGTATTAGAAGCTAGACAAAGACTGGAAATAAGGCATGAATTAACCATTGGTGCCATATAATGTGGTTTGTAGATTTCCCCACTCTCCCTGATGGTTTCTCTATCAAGATTGGATGATTTTCAAAAAGGTCTGCTCTAGGAATTATTTTTGGGGAAAATTCTCTGGCCTTGGTTACACGGTAGGTCAGACTAGAAGATAACTGGTCCCTTCTGGCCTTGGAATCTATTAATTGTAGTTATTGTGTGAAGAATTTTTGTGTCTTGGCTAGAACTTAAAGGATGATAAATATATCCTCAATCATAAATTGGTAAGTAATCAGTAGAGAAGGTGACATACAAGAGAATATGAAATGTTACATTGGAACATTTTAAAAAAGTGGAAAATTCCACCTTGAATTTTTTGAGTTTTGAGAACCTTAGACAGTGAGTGGGTGGTCTGATTTTGA